ATTTGTATTTTTCAATATACATTTTTATATAATATTTTCTGCAATAATATTATTTCATTATAAAAACTGCTTACCTACAAACAGAATGAAAAATATGTTGAAAAAGAAAGATGGCAATAAACGCGCGCAAAGAAATATATTTCGCAATATATTCTCGTATTTTTCGAGACCTAGAAATCCAGAAATGAAAAGCTATAATATTAAAAGTCCAAAGCTCTTTATTTAACTGGAAATTTTTCAATAATAAAAAAGTAAGGAAAATAAAAATAACAAGAATTATATAGCAGTCAATAACAAAGCATGATGATTATTTGCACGAATAAGAAATAAATATACCGCGAGTATATATAAAAACACATGAAACATGCTGCAATAATTGTCTTAAACTACTTAAAATGAATTGGATTATTTTTACAAAAACTCTATTTTTTTCCCCCTCTCTCTTTCTTAATAAAAAGTATTTTCCCTTATAATTAAAGTGAGAAATACACGATAATAAACTTAAACGGTAATCACCATGTGTTACACACAACGTTCCGTGAATCTTCGCGGGATTATACAGAAGCGGCCAACCAGAGTCCAGTCACTGCGGCTTATGAAAATATTACAACTTCGTGCATTACGATTGCATAACGTTTACTCGAGGAGAGCGAATCTGCGAGGATAATTTCCGGCTATAATAATTAATAAGGCTCGCGCAGGACGAATATCCTTCTCTATACGTAGGAGGAAAGGTTATCGGGTGGATCCCTCCCGCTATTCTACCACAGAGCTTTCTCTCGATCCCATCGCTCTTGCCAATTTCCGCGGCTACTCCTCCCTAATTAGGAGATTAATTATAGCAGAAACGTCAGACGAGGATGTTTAATACTGCGCCCTAAAGCGCGATCGTTCCATTTGTTCTTGTTCTCGATCTCGCACGGTCGTGCTACTGAAAAAACAAATCCCCCTTATTTGAGCAAAACGAAGAGTTGTACTAATTACATTTTCCCGCGATATTGTCGTAAGAAATGTCAACGATCGCATGCCGAGCGTTATTTATTATTCCGAACCAATTTCCAGAGGGTTTTTATCGAGACTCTCAACGTTCGCACATCGAGAAATATCTGAGAGACATTATCGCATCGTGTACGGAACCGTAGTTAGCGAGGGATTGAAAACCATCGATATGTACATGTGTATATGCACAGGAAGACATCATCGTTATTTGTTCAGACAAACTCCCTCGATCCAAATGCTTTGCTTTCTCCAACTGTACTTGCATATGCAATACTTTATAAATACTTGTGCCAACCATTGCTTGATCGTATTTAAATTTCTGTGAATAAAATACAGACCACATGAAAGCTTTCTACTTTAAATCACAGACAAGAAATTATTGATTCAATAATACAGATATTTCCCGTTTCTAGTAAAGCACATAAATCTTTGAAGAGTATGTACTGCATAAAAAAAATTACCAAAAAAGTATCAGTTTGCGAAATTAAACATCAAACAAAAATAAGATTATTTAATTAAATTTGTCGACGAAAAAAAATAATTAAAGTATCTTATACAAGTCTTTTTCATTCGGTTCGTTTCACGACGCTGCTTGTGCCATTAGTGGTTAAATATGGCGCCGCGATTCGTCCGCTCTTTAAGTTTTTGTTAACGTACGTAGCAACGAAGCTTTTCCGACTCTTCGTTGCTCGATCGTGCTTAATTTGCAAGAGAGTTAGTTCGCCCGATGCAATTATACCTGTTATTCGTTGCGCGCGCGGAGGTTTGCGAGTCTTCGCAAGGAAGGATTTACGGTGTGTACATAACTCGGAGCGAAACAAATGCACGTCGACGTTTTCATTCCCTCCCTAAAAAAACGTCAGCTTTATCCACTGTTTTTGGGGTGTCACGGCGAGTTCACGCACCGAAGAAAAATAACACACTATCGACAAATTATTTCGTCGGACTGTTTTCAACCTGTCCTAAAATTCTATATTATTCGTTTATTTCTTAGCACTTAAATATATATATAATATTTTATATATATACAAATAAATATAAAATATTACTTTAATAAAATACAATATGCAAGCATTGCACATAAAATATTATTAAAATATTAGCTTCGCAGAGAGAACCAGGAAATAATCAAAGATCTATCAGTAACCGCACGTTTTTTGCCGGACGGTCGAGAATCAATTCGTCACTATGGCGAAGCAACATATGTATGTCGCTCGCGAATCTGTACCTGATCGTCGCGCAATCACTTTAGCCGTATTTCGAACGAGTTCCATTCCACACGCACCGAATACGACGACCATTCGTTTAACACGCGCGACAAACTTCCCCGTCTTCCGACAAACACTTTTGAGAAAAAAAAAAAAAAAACTAAAATAAAAAATAGTGAAGGACGAACTACGCTACGCTAATTCACGTTAGCGGCCGGTTTCCAACGGCGCGGCGTTGCCTGTCGACGAAACACCGGCATACACGACATTTCAATCTGCAAGAGTCGAAAGCGGTTTATTGTTATTTTCTTTTTTTCCTCTTTTTTCCACCTTTTTTTCAATAGCAGTTAGTCGACGCGTGTACCGCGAGTTCTGCGCGGATACGCCCGGCTAAAACGGTTATTCCCAGGTGAGCACGTGGCGCTGATTGGCGATACAGAGCGGGAAGGGAACCGATCAGGCAGACTCGAGCGGATGCGGCGCAGATTGGTGAGACGCGAACGATGATGGGCATGTTGACGATTAAAAAAAAAAAAAAAATTTTTTTCTTTTTTTTCCCGACAAAAATTGCCGAGAAGGAGCTATCGCCGTATCTGCAATGACGTATCCCGCGCCTCTGTGATGACCATGATTAATAGTGTCAACACGATACTATAGTATTTTTTCTCCCGTATGTGTCGTTCGTTCGTTTGGTGGCGATGTCCCTCTCATTCTCACCCTCGATATCGCTAGATCGACTTTCCGGCTTTTTTCCCACGAGCCGAAAATAACAACTGCAATAAGCCGCTTGTATGCGCGCGCGAGCTTTTCCACATATTAAACCGAAATCTACCAAAGATATATATCCGATATCGACGCGGATGAGGAAGAGGCATGGTGATACTTGACCATGAGCGAGACGGACAAGAATTGCCACGAGGAACATCGATACGTTCCGGACAATGCGATATTGAGGCAGCCACGAGTCATTAAGCCGTGGCGTTATCAGAAGGTGCAAGAGAGGGATGAGTGGAAAACCGTCGCGGGGGGTGTGAGGAGGTGAGGGAGGGGGACAGAGATGGGGCTAAATTGTCGAGAGTGGCAGTCGGGAAAGCTGGGACGGGGAAAAAGGGGAATGAGGAGTGTCTGCTACGCGGTCGGAATAAAACAATGCCCTTCCTCGAGAGATGCCGCCGTTTCACTGCTGTGTTGCTGCCGTTCCTAAGAAAAGAGAAAGAGGCGGAGTGGCTGCTTGAAACAGATAGTCCAGACTGATATATATATATATATATATATATATATATATATATATATATATGTATATATCGGGGAACCACCTGCACTTAATAATTTAGAAGATTGGCGGCGTACGCACGATTCCGCTTCTGAATTTCGCTTATGAAACGTAATCTGCTTTCGTCGGTCTCAAAGTATTTTATTATTTTCTAAGATTGCGACAAATTTTCTCTCTTTATGTGTAAAATGCTAAATATTTAATGACCGATGTATATATTTACATGAAGAGTGTTTAGTTTATAAATTTACATATATCTTCTTCATATTTTCTTTCATCTATATAGATAAACTTGGAATGCTATAATAGGTATATTCTCTTTTTTGGACAAATGCTCTGCTATATTAAATTCTAAGCTAAATTGATATTTTATTTATTCCAAACTATATTTAATAAAGTAAATAATCGTGTGAAATGTAATTTGTAATCGGATAGAGAGATGATTGTATACATATATAACAATTTATATACGAGTACATAACTAATGCAATAAATAGATTAGTATTATTGTACAGATAATGATGATATTATTTCATGTAATTTCACGTATATTGTATAATTCTGATGTGCTAAATATATAGTTAAATCCAAGAAAATTACTTGTAATAGATGAACATATAGGTATAAAATTACATACATATTAGAATTGTATATGTATATGGTAATTTTCACATTTGCACATATATGTATATATATATATATCTCGTAATTAATTTATCACCATTCTCTGACCACTATTGTTTATACTGATTTATGCGTGAGATTATCAATGTTTTATATATAAATTACCTCAAGCCGTCCAAAATTTATGTTAAAAAGTTGTCAAAAATTTAAATATATTGTAAATATATGTAAATTTATGTAAATTTAAACATAACATTTTGCGAAAAAATTATATAACAAAATAGAAAAAAATAGTAGAGAAAATATACATGAGAATTTTGTTTTTTTTCTTCTCTCTTTTTTTTTTGATTAAATATTTCTCTAGATTATACAATTTCTTCCTATATTAAAGTCGCCAATGTTAAATTTATAGATCACTTGGAAATGACGACTTGCATAATATTGTATAGTATATGTTTCGTGAGGCAATTTTATGCTAGATGTAATATCGATAATACTAATACGATATAGAAACCGCTTGTCTGTGCTTGCCAATCTATTGACTGAGAGACGATTATGGAAACTTCGATTGCAGAGATATTTTTACCGGCACAAATGTTAGTATTTCCGCCGGTGTCTCGTTAAAATGTCTTTCAAATATAAAATAAATATCTTCTTATTACCGATCGTTTTGCAACAAGATTTTGATCCGCTTAATTTTAAATTTGATACAAATGTTTTTAAAAAAATTTCGCGAAATCGCGACAATGTTCTATTTACGCGATATCTCTTTGATTCTTCCGTATTTGTGAATACGACTAAAAAAGCAACGATAACGAGCTCGACGACAATGATAACGACGACGACGACGACGACGGCGATGTCGTCGACGGTAATATCCCAGTAGGATTATTTCTGTGCTTAGAAACAGCCGGTGCTGCGCTGATACCGAGACGACGAGAAAGGATTAATAGTTTCTTTCCTGCAATCCCGGCAGCAGCGAGCAGACGTTCGCGTCTTTATAGAATGATGCGAATCTTCGAAGTGTATGTATCAGCGAATACGAGAAAATTTTGGCTCCAAGTTTAACTTTAGTTCTTTCCCTTCGTCTTGGCAGAGAAAAATCCGCTCGTACAAGAAGAAGAAACAATGTCGATTGCGATGAATCCTGGCAAAGAAACCGTACTCGGCTTTGTTGCTTTTTAATATCGAGATTTTATTGGCGTAAGGACAAACGCGTGATCTGTTTGATCTATATGTCAATTCTAAATTGTAATTTTAACCATAAAGAAGCGAGTATTACAAATTACTATTAAAAGATTTTTTTCTTTAATGCATATCACATAAAAGAATATTATAATCGCTTACTTGTGCTGCAATAGATAAAAGCAGACAGATAGAAGGTAGAAGCATCGACCAATAGTGCTCTCATCGTCAAAGTAGACTTACCTGAAAAAATAGAAAAAATTCGATTAGTATATATAAATGAAAAATATATGGGAAAGTATTTCAAGGTTTTAACAAATGAAAAAAAAATTTTTTCGTATATATAGAACATTGCGAGAAAAATTAAAGCAACAATGCTCGAGTCTCGTGTTGCTAGAGATCCATCTTAAGGATCACGTATGTGTGGGCGAGAAAATTATGTTTTATCGTCTTTCTTCTTGACAGCGCATCTTAAGATACGTAGAAAGCTTCGAGAAGAAACGTGGCACTGATTACGATGGATGATAATGGCGTACTCCTCGATAAAGTGCGGCGCAACGAGAGCGAATTCAAGGATCACGCACGGCTCTTCGCGCTTTCGTAAGTATGCCTGTGCAACGCGGCCGGTTTCCGCCAACAAGGCGAAGTTGCAGTCAAAGTGCAGAATCGTGTAAATCGGTTGGTGCGATTCATCAGGAGGTCCAACGACGACAAGTCCCGTTTCGCGCGTCGGAGATTAATAACGATAAGATAAAGCGCATAAAGTTGCAATTTTTTGAGCCTCGAGTGTATTCAATGTTTCGTACAATGCGTCTATAAAATTATATTTAGTAAATATCTACAAGGACCATTACGCTAGGATATTTATAAAATAAACGCGTGATTACATTAGATACATTTTTTCCTAAGATTTTTTTTAGCATAATCGTGATTATTTTATACAGGGTAAAACACGAATAATAATTATGATACTTGTAATTAATACTAAAATATATTATAATATCCTTAATTTCGTGAGGATAAATTCGATGACATCTGGATCGATAGGATTCGAATAAGAGAAAGACGGCCCACATCTAAGAACGTTTTGCTTCCATCGATCTCGAAAGAGAGAAGCCGTCCGCAATGCTTTTATATATTTGGCAAAACGGTTGAGATAGACTGTTGAGTGACGGTAAAACACGAACAGACTGACGGAGATCGATTGCACGGTCTTAGGCTTAACTATTATCTCCGGGCAAAAGATTCGGCCTACAAGAAGCATCTACAAAATTACTTCACAATTACATGCTCTTCTAACCATAAAAATGTAATTTATTTGCGCGTTAACATCGTTTCCGACATTTTATTAATTAACGTAATTAATACAGATAAATTATATAAAAATTTGATATTTGTATATACGTCAAAATATAATTCGCGAAAAATATATCACACATAAAATAGAAAATTTTCCAAATTTCTTCGTATACAATTTTCTCTTCAACATAAAATCTTGCAAATTGAGGGAGTGTTTCGTATCGTTCATCATCTTCCTGACCTTCGTCCGGTGCTGTTGAAAGCCAAATATGTTAGAATCATAAATACTTGTCGTTTTTGTTCCGCGATTTCGATGTCTGAAACGAGCAAATATCCGTAAAATTGATACGATTACGAGCTTAAGTTTCAATCCATGGATACACAGCGTCTTCCGCCTCGAGACCGAATTTCTTCGATCGCGATATATCTATAGATCTTTGGGATACTTCGATCAGCTCACTAAGATATGCTATATATATATATATATATATAATGTTCTCACATCCGCTAAAGCGGAATACTCGACTGGGACAAGTCGGGATAAAAGGATCTCGGCGGACCGATTTCGACACGATACTCTATTAAATGCACGGTTGCCGCGAGCGATCTTCAGAAGCCAAACTTTATCTTCGTCATGTCGGCTAGATAAACGACGCGCATTTCAGATGTGAAGTTGACTAGTATCGAACTACGATCGGTTTGCGTTGGATACACGAGTTTCCGAAAGGGGCTGTGTACTTTGGCGGAGAAATCTCGAGTCTCGATATCCGATAAAACGATCGCGCGGCAAAATCCCTCGAGAATCCCGAAAGCTTCTTAAAGATCCGAGAGGAGGGAAAGGAAGGTAGGAAAGAAATGTCCAGATTCTTCTGCCCTTGGTATTTATGAGAAAACGTCTACATATTTATTGGAAAAACACGGAAATTAAGAAAGCGGCATGTCAAGCAAACTGTAAATATAGAATAATACATAATTGACATTTTTTTTACATAAAGTATAAAAATATAAATGTTTTTTTTATTGAAAAGAGGTTTAATTAAATCTTTTAATATATAACACATATCACGTTCCGTAATAAGCAAATAATATAATTATAATTAAAAGTAATTTGTTAAAGAGTCCTCTAATTTCTCCCTCATTACATTTGATAAAAGAAATTAAGTACTGGTCGTTCGTATAATATGTTAATCGTCCGAATTTTGGCAACAGAAAGCTTCTCAGTTTAACAGGATTGTTTTGCTTATGGACCCCTCGCTTGTCATTAAACTCATACGTTCGTCAAAGATCATTTTGGCGATTAAAATGCACGGGAGTTTTCGGAAAACCGAAATGAGTTATTGTCGAAAGTCATTCGTATGAAACACAGCTGCAGCGCGTTTTACTGCGCCGGATTATAGGCTTTATGGCGTAATTTAATGTCGCAGTTGAACAATTTGCAGCGCCGCATTACACGGAATTTCGTTCGTTAAAGCAAATACAATTACTGAGATTCCACGGCGCCATAATTGGATGGGAATACCCGCTGCTGAAACTTTAGTTATAACGTATGAAGCGTTATCTGTTCAGCGATATTTACTTATCCGGCGTTAATGCCGCGTTGTTCTTAATTTCGTGAATTCGCATTTCGACCCATTCGTACGTCGACGCATTTAATTAACAGACGGTTTACTCATGCGTCTCTAATAAATTTACAACCATTATACGATACTCTTGTTCCCGGGCTTTAATATCCTTTCATTATGAAAGACTTTTCATGCACATAATATTGCGTATTGTAAAAACACGCATTTTATAAAGCCTACTAATCGAAAGTATTCTTGATTATTGGTATTTCAATAATGACGGAAATATAAATAATTGGTATTAATTGTTTGTCAAATATTTTTACGTATACACAAGTTATGATCGTATTATTTAATTCATTTTGACAATTTAGGAAAGTCAAGAGTTGAAAAACCTGATATCAACTTGAGCACATTTTTAATGTAGAAAAGGTAATTTTTACGGATATGTAAAATGAATAAAAAGAGACCACTGTGTCCACTATTAAGATAAACCGCTTTTTCGCATCAGATTTTAAATGGAAATCGAGTTGACGCTTCTTCCATTCGATTCGGGATTTTCCAGTGAACTATACTGTGAAACTACTTGGATCAATTTTTTCTAAATGCGGTAGGATCTTTAATGGCGACTACGAGAAGCCGGTAAAAAAAGCCGGCACCAATTTCCTGAACGAATATCTCTGAAACGGGAATTGTCTGGCGTGATTGCGGCGCTATGGAAAAGTATATAGCGATTTCTGAACACAATAAAAAGCCAATGGCGCCAATGGGAATAGCGTGAACTTATCCTTGAATATAAATAGTAAAATTACTCGTAACAATTTAATTACTATATATATATCTCTTATATTTTTAGCGCGTATAGCCGCAGTATATTTTTCGACTATATATAGCAGCTTTAAAGAAACATACATCTTTTATGAGCTTGTCTTAATGGCCAGGCTTATTTTTGTACATGACGTAAGGCGTCACATAAAATCTCATCGCGAGGAAACCGAGCAGCATCGCTGGTTAAATTCATCCCGTAGATTATAATAAAAAGGAATGCGAAAGAGAGAGAGAGAGAGAGAGAGAGAGAGAGAGAGAGAGAGAAATTTACGATATGGTGTCAATTTGGCCTTTGAGACTCTAAAACCCCTTCATTCACTTAGGATGCCGGCCTAGTAACGGTTAACTTAGTTTACGATCGCCGCTCCGAGGTGACGGAGCGCATAGGTGGATGCTTATACGTGGCCACGTGTACCAGAAGCCGCATGGAACGTATCTCGCGCGTCTTATATGAAGGCACAAGAAGTAAGTCGTGAGCTTTCGCGGGGCGAACGTGCTTTCCGAGGTTATTACCTCGCGGAATCAAATCCCCGCAAGGTACGTGCCCCATGTTAATACCGAGCGGTGAGGCAGTAACGGCGTAACTCGTTACGGGTTCATTTTGTGGAGGGTTTGGGGCTGGCGAGAAAGTGAGAGACGGAAGGCGAAAGAGAGGGAGAGAGACCGAGAGGTATTCACGAATAGCTCGCGAGTTTACGATTGCGCGCGAAAATGCGAGAAAATCTTATTTTCCACGAGCGTCGTCGTCGCATCGAGGGTACGCGTCAGTCTCGATCACCTAGCTTTAAGTATTCGCCAACGAAAGCTCGTGATTCTCACGGAAGATTGTTCCAACTACGTCATTTCACTTTGCGGAAAATCAATTCTTCCTCCTGTTATTACAGGAAATTTAAAAGCATGGTAATATGTTCAGAAATGGATTTCAATATTTATTACATTGGCAAGATTCTATAATCAATATAAATCGATATAAATAGATCAATGGCATGTAATTGGTATTAGAAATTTTATTTTTTATATTTTAATCAACTTGTCATGTATCATGCTATGACAAAATTAATAGAATGTCTTTAATTTCATTATTTGTTATACTACCTAAAATATATGGTATAACATTAATATATTAAATGTAAAAATTATATTTATATATAATTTATATTTATATATTTATATTTTACCTTTTTATATCATTATTTTTACGCTCACATATTATAAAACTTAATTCGATTTGTCATCTATCAATCGATAATGTTTCATTTTTTATGTGTCATTTTAATCATCGAAATACATTCTAGATATATTAATTCTCTCAGAGCAGATGCGTACCATATTTGCGTGTGCAATATCTGGCATCAAGCAAACTGAGAGTCCTTCATTCATAATGAATGATTCAAGATCGCAAACGCTTAAACGTAGGCACTTGGTATATACGATTCGCAGTTAAGATCATGGTTCCTGCAGGAATCTACATGCGGAAGTAATTATCTGAGACAAAGAAAAAACCAACCGAGTTAATATTTATAGTTTGATAAGATCCATTCACATAGCGTGATGCGATTCACTACACCCACCGAGCCGTTAAGCAATGATTAAGCAATTTTAAATACAACGAGGAAATCTCTAAGATCATATTAACGCGTTAATACGGGATCAAGCAGCTCGCGGGGTGATATTATCGACCTAATAACGCCCAAACTACTTTGTTAATCTTAATTACAACGGCAATAAAGAAGCACGCTCTCTCTCGATCCTTTCACGCGAGCGTGCTTACGGTACTTTGTACATACTTAAGGGACGGCAGATGTGTTCATCGGAGAGAGAGCCGGGCAGTGGCGACTTAATCGTGACTCCATATGTGTTGCATGAAAGCGGGCCGATCCGGGAAAAGCGTGGCTGACAGTGTTAATTTCAGATGATAGATACCGGCCAGGGTGCAATGCAAATGAGCCTCACGCGATAGCGCAACAACTCCGAGAGGCTTGATGCATGCGAGCCCGTTTTCGTCGAGCTTAGAAGAGCCCCTTCCTCGTTTGTGAGTCCCGCTATCGAGGCTCCCGCGGCTATCGGGAGGGTCTCGACCTCCTATTTCTCGTCTCTCATGTAATTATCGCGTTACCGGGTTCCGTGCTCCGCGACACATACGGCAATCGGAATAACGAGGCACGACCGATATTACGACCGATCATTATTCCGAGTTATGCG